CCTCGCCCCGCCTCAGTACCAGGAAGTCCCGCCCCCTTTCCTACCTCAGGCCTTACAGCAGCAATACCTCATCCAGCAACAGCTACTGCAGCGCAGGTACAAAACACACATGTCCACACACAATGATACGAAAAAAAAGTCTTTGGACACTTAAAAATGTTTAGTTATCCTTCATTAAGATAAAAGACACAGTAAGGAAAAACACACAAAACAATTGATAAATAAAAGATCTATTCTATTCCTCTATCTTTATCTCTTCAGACGCACACAAGAGCGAGTCCCACTGAACACTCATCGGTTACGCCCAGGATATGAATATGCTCCGCCCCTCCACGCCCCTCAGCCAATCCCACAGCAGCCCAGATACCTGGCAGAAGGCACTGACTGGTGAGTTCTACAAACACACTCGTATTCAAAGCAGTAGTAAATTTATTTCGGCCACCGAATAGGTAATTGTGATTTTTTTTAAATCTCAGAATTAGGATTTTTCCTTTTTTATTTACATTTCTTATAACTTGCAATTGTGAAGTTCATATTTTGCAATTGCGAGTTGGAAACTCATAGTTCTGAGTTTAAATCTCACAGTTAAGACCTTTTTCATCAGAATTCTGAGTTTACATCTTGAAATTCTGAATTATTTTTTTCTTGGAATTCTCAGTTTACATTTCTCAAATCTGTTTTTTTTCCCCCACCACAGAATAAAAAAAAAATCCAAAATTAATTGTAATTGAGACTTTTTTTTACATTTTTCTCGCAATTTTGACTTTTTTGTTCTCAGAATTGCAAGAAAAAAAGTCTGAATTGTGAGATAAAAAGTCACAATTATCTTTTTACATTTTTTTTAATTCTGTGGCAGAAGTAAGCTTCCATAGTAAACAACTTTCTTGACGTTTAGGAATTATCTTTATGGTCAAAAAGGGAAAATAATGTACCACACACAAATTCCCTGCTGCTGATTGTGTTGTTTTTAAATAGCTCTTAATAAAATGAAAATGTGTGTGTTTAGGGATCTGAGTGTGGACGCAGGTGTGCCGCATCAGTATCCTCTGCAGCAGATCCCTCAACCCTACCAGCATTACCTGGCCTCTCCCAGAATGCACCACCTCCCCAGAAACACCTCCTCCACCCAAGTGGTGAGTGAGTGTGTGTGTGTGTGTGTGTGTGTGTGTGTATAT